ATATGTATAAACTTCTGCTAGATTGAAGCATGGTCCCACTAGACAGAAGTGGTGTCTTGAACTTCGATTTTTGTCGTGTGGAGACCCGCCCAACTTGAGAGAGATGTTAGGATATGAACGAGAAGTCGTGCAGGTTAAAATTTTACTAGAAATAAATTCGTGTGTTTTTAAACTAAAAAACTGTAATTTTTTTTATAACAAAATTAAATTAAAATTAACTATCAAAACTGCCAATAAAAAATAATAATTCTGACATGATTGTGAAGAAAATTTCTAATCTTCTTTTACCTTTCTTACGAAGAGTGATGTATAAATTTTAATTCATTGTTTATTCTTAATTGTAATAAGTTTTAAAATTCAAGATATTTATAAATAAAATTAATTTATTTAATAATTAGTTGATTTTTTAATTTAAGTAATTTGATATATTTTTTATAGTTAAGATATATAATAACTTATTATGAAAAATATAAAAGGTTAGTCACCAATAAAAGGTGATATTTGATAAATAAGATAACTAATAACATGATGGTAATAGATAATGCCTTGTAAGATGAGTAACTAGTAGCTAGTGCATGTAAAAAGTCTTTTTTAATAGATATGGAGACATTCTAATAATAAAATCAATAACTTTATAGAAAAAAATATAATAATATTATAGAAAGAGATACTAAAAAATATAATAATATTATAGAAATGAATGCTCTGAAAATATACAATAGAAAATAAAAGGATTATGGACCTTTAACTTAAATAACTTATGATGTATTTATAACTCACTAATTTTATTCTTTTACAGAGAAGAAGGGATATAATATAATTTTATTTTTTATAATATTTTGAGTTGTATGCTACTTAAACTAATATGTATTAAATTAATATAAAATATTAAGAGATATGCATAAGGTTTTGAAAAAAATATTAGTGAGTGTTTGGCTTAGGTTCTTTAAAGATAAGAAATTGATCCAAGTATGTTATCCAACCTTAAGTATGTTAGACTCAGGATGTGCTCTTGAGTTTGAGCACATTAGGCTTGGGTGTGGAAGCCCAATTCCACAGGGGTGTGGAGGTGCGCCTCCAATAACAACTCAAACCTAATCTTTTTAGGTGTTAGATTCTCCAAGTCTAATAATATTATTAAGTTTATTTTAAAGGAATTATTTATATCTATTTTATTTAAATTCATCACTTGAAAAACAATATTGTAATCATACTATTATCCTCAAATAACAAACAATAAATTATTTTAAAGATAGATGATTGATCCTCTATCCTTGTTTCAATCTCCTACTTCAAGTCCTTTTTCATTCAACAAATACTGTAAATTAGTTTTTCCTTTCAGTTGTTGATTTATATACATATTTTATATTTTATAGAAACCTGATCATTACATTAAAGAAAAACAAAAAATAACCATCTTAGAAACTATTTAAACTGTCCAACAAGATCTCGCATACTTGTCAAGCTTTGATATGAAACAATTGTAAAGACTCCTGATTAATAAAATGGCCGACACGAATAAGCTCGACAAGAGAAAGCGTTGGTATCCGTTTTAACATGCAATGCGTTTGAAGTTGTGGGATTCTTTACGATCCCCTGTGCATGAAAAGAAATTTACTCGCGTAAATTCATGAAGGTAGCCATCAAAAGGGAGTTGAGACAGAAGACGATTGATACTCCTTCCCATAAACAGCTAGATATGCATTTAATTGCAAAAGAAATTGCACAAAATTTGAATGCGGGCTGGGGCTAGCTGTAACCGGGCAGCTCGTAGAATTGTCAATGGGGATTTTTTTTCTTTCATTTGTGTGAGATTTTTCTTTTTATTAATGACAGTTTATATATAGTTTATATATGTATTTTAATTAATTTTATAAACTAAGAGATGTTAGGATATGAACGAGAAGTTGTGCAGGTTAAAATTTTACTACGAAATAAATTCGTGTGTTTTTAAACTAAAAGAGATGTTAGGATATGAACGAGAAGTCGTGCAGGTTAAAATTTTACTAGAAATAAATTCGTGTGTTTTTAAACTAAAAAACTGTAATTTTTTTTATAACAAAATTAAATTAAAATTAACTATCAAAACTGCCAATAAAAAATAATAATTCTGACATGATTGTGAAGAAAATTTCTAATCTTCTTTTTACCTTTCTTACGAAGAGTGATGTATAAATTTTAATTCATTGTTTATTCTTAATTGTAATAAGTTTTAAAATTCAAGATATTTATAAATAAAATTAATTTATTTAATAATTAGTTGATTTTTTAATTTAAGTAATTTGATATATTTTTTATAGTTAAGATATATAATAACTTATTATGAAAAATATAAAAGGTTAGTCACCAATAAAAGGTGATATTTGATAAATAAGATAACTAATAACATGATGGTAATAGATAATACCTTGTAAGATGAGTAACTAGTAGCTAGTGCATGTAAAAAGTCTTTTTTAATAGATATGGAGACATTCTAATAATAAAATCAATAACTTTATAGAAAAAAATATAATAATATTATAGAAAGAGATACTAAAAAATATAATAATATTATAGAAATGAATGCTCTGAAAATATACAATAGAAAATAAAAGGATTATGGACCTTTAACTTAAATAACTTATGATGTATTTATAACTCACTAATTTTATTCTTTTACAGAGAAGAAGGGATATAATATAATTTTATTTTTTATAATATTTTGAGTTGTATGCTACTTAAACTAATATGTATTAAATTAATATAAAATATTAAGAGATATGCATAAGGTTTTGAAAAAAATATTAGTGAGTGTTTGGCTTAGGTTCTTTAAAGATAAGAAATTGATCCAAGTATGTTATCCAACCTTAAGTATGTTAGACTCAGGATGTGCTCTTGAGTTTGAGCACATTAGGCTTGGGTGTGGAAGCCCAATTCCACAGGGGTGTGGAGGTGCGCCTCCAATAACAACTCAAACCTAATCTTTTTAGGTGTTAGATTCTCCAAGTCTAATAATATTATTAAGTTTATTTTAAAGGAATTATTTATATCTATTTTATTTAAATTCATCACTTGAAAAACAATATTGTAATCATACTATTATCCTCAAATAACAAACAATAAATTATTTTAAAGATAGATGATTGATCCTCTATCCTTGTTTCAATCTCCTACTTCAAGTCCTTTTTCATTCAACAAATACTGTAAATTAGTTTTTCCTTTCAGTTGTTGATTTATATACATATTTTATATTTTATAGAAACCTGATCATTACATTAAAGAAAAACAAAAAATAACCATCTTAGAAACTATTTAAACTGTCCAACAAGATCTCGCATACTTGTCAAGCTTTGATATGAAACAATTGTAAAGACTCCTGATTAATAAAATGGCCGACACGAATAAGCTCGACAAGAGAAAGCGTTGGTATCCGTTTTAACATGCAATGCGTTTGAAGTTGTGGGATTCTTTACGATCCCCTGTGCATGAAAAGAAATTTACTCGCGTAAATTCATGAAGGTAGCCATCAAAAGGGAGTTGAGACAGAAGACGATTGATACTCCTTCCCATAAACAGCTAGATATGCATTTAATTGCAAAAGAAATTGCACAAAATTTGAATGCGGGCTGGGGCTAGCTGTAACCGGGCAGCTCGTAGAATTGTCAATGGGGATTTTTTTTCTTTCATTTGTGTGAGATTTTTCTTTTTATTAATATAAGTGTTTTAACAGTTTATATATGTATTTTAATTAATTTTATAAACTTTAAAATTAATGAAACTAGCTTCAAATGCAAGTCGAAGTCGATGCTGTTCGTGTGTGTGGATGGGCGTCATTCATCAAAATAAACTGCAGAAGGGCTAGGCCCAGTACAACATCATAGATAAACAAGATCACACTTGGACTAAGCAGCTTGTAGCTCAGTGACGTAAAGCGTTACTTGCTTTTTTTTGAATTTTGATTTAAATCCCAGTAGCAATGGGGCTGATAAGTGGTTTCCTTCCTATATCTGTTGGCTCCTCTCTGTGTGGTACGCCTGTCACCCCCGTGGTGCCTTATCTATTCAGTAGGCTTGCAGACTGTTCAATAAACCGTGGGATTAGTCGTGGTGCGTATAAACTAGCCAGAACACCCACATTAATAATAAAAAAAAAAGATCACACCTTAGACCATGTTATATTTGATTAAAATATTGTAATGAGAAATCAAAGTTACATAGTTCTTTCACGTATGTCTTTGTTTTTATTGTTTAAATCTCTATTGGAGTGGCGTAGGATCAAAATTAAGTCTTAGCGTAGAATCAAGAGTATTTAAGATATATTCTCCATAAATTTTTAGAATAGTTTGGGACTACTTTTGAAAAGGATTTCTAAAAAAATTTGAATTTTTTTATTTTAAATTAATATATTTTTGATATTTTAAAATTATTTTAATGTGGTGATTTCAAAAATAATTTTTTAAAAATTAAAAAATTATTAATATACTTTTACGAGTGAAAAATACTTTAAAAAACAACTAAAACTATATTTTTAAATTAATGTACATGAATAATATCACTCTTAGTGTTCGTGAGAAATTATGTTTTAAAATGTTTTTTTAATATATTAAAATATTTTTTTATTTTTTAAAATTTATTTTTAATATTAATATATCAAAATAATAATAAAAATAATAATTAAAAAAAAAAACATAATTGAACTGCCTTTCAAACGCTTCCAAATGCATCTTTATAAAGCTCCTCCTGGCTTATAATGTAATTATAAGCTTGGTGGGGTGGAAAAGAAACAATGTAAATGAACGACATTATAAACCAAAGGAACATCATCACCGATGCTCTTTGTACTTTTATGAATGTTCAAATGAAGACACAAACGATTCATGGTTTTGTGTAACTGATTTAAAAAATCTTTAAACTTTCATGCGGAGAAATTATTTAGAGCAATGCTATCGCTTAAGAGTTAAGACTGAATTCTTATAATGAGGTGCACTGGCATGGCAGTCAAGGCGGACAATCCACGTAACAATTTCTTAAAAAATAACCAATTTGACTTGATGGTTTTTTTTTTCTTGGGACCCCCAACTTCTCGATCCTTGAGTTTGTCCAACAAGAAAGTGATTCAACAAGATGGCCCCAATCGAGATATGAAATATACAGATCCCCAAAAGGGAGACTACCAGAAATCTGTTCAAAAGCATCCCTCTAATTTTCCAACCTAAACCAGCTCTCACTAATTAAAGATATCTGAGATGGAAGAAATACCCAAAACAAGCAAGCAGATCTTCATATTATCAGGGCAAAGCAACATGGCCGGTCGCGGCGGCGTTTGCAAAGACCACCACCACCACAACCACCAGTACTGGGACAAGTTAGTCCCACCAGAATGTCAACCCCATCAAGACATCTTCCGTTTTTCAGCCAAGCTCCATTGGGAACAGGCACATGAACCACTCCATGCTGACATCGACTCGAAAAAAGTTTGTGGGGTTGGACCCGGCATGTCGTTTGCTAACATGGTGAGGGAAAAGATGAGGGTGGTGGTGGGATTGGTACCGTGTGCGGTGGGTGGGACGGCCATCACGCGGTGGGGGCGTGGAGAGGTATTGTATGAGAATATGGTGAAAAGGGCCAAAGAGAGTGTCGAAGATGGTGGGGAAATCAAGGGGTTGCTATGGTACCAAGGAGAGAGTGACACGTCGGATATTCATGATGCCGAGGTTTACCAGGGGAACATGGAGAAGCTTATTGAGAATGTTAGAGAGGATCTTGGTCTGCCTTCCCTTCCAATTGTTATGGCTAGTATCGTTCTATCAAATCATAACATCACATTGTTCTTTTGTTTCAATTCATTATAAAAATTAGAACACCACTTGTTCATGTGGACAAACTGTTGTCTTGATCGGAGCAGTGAATTTTCGTATAGTTAAAATGAAGTGATTAACACATAGATTGTAGTGGCTTATTACTAATTAGAAGAGTTGATAGATTGTTTGTGTGATTAAATTGGTGGTATGTATTGTGTTAGTGCAGGTAGCAATAATATCAGGAGATGGCAAGTATGTGGATAAGGTGAGAGAAGCACAGCTAAGGATTAATATGCCGAATGTGATATGTGTGGATGCCATGGGATTGGATCTTAAAGACGACCATCTTCACTTAACAACTGAAGCTCAGGTTAAGTTGGGCCACATGTTGGCAGAAGTTTACCTCAAGAATTTTGCACCATCATGGAAACGTTTCTTTTCTTGCTTGCTTTGCTAAAAATAAGGGGAATGGGTTCCCAGTGCTGTTGATTTAATTTTTGTTTCTACCCCTTTTCTTTTTGCTGATTCCCGGATTCCGATGGAGCAATTTGGGGTTCGGTGGAACTGGGTAGCTAGAATTGTTATTGGGACTTCTACTGTCAAGTAACTTTTGCGGTCCAAAAACCAGTAATCTGTTTTTTGCGTCCAGAAAAAAATCAAGTGTTCATTGCAGATCATACCAAAATATGGAACAAAGGAGGAGAAGCGCCTTGCTTTGCCCCGCTTAGGTTCCATTTTGGGCTGTGCGCTTGTGAGCTGTGACCACCCGGGTTCCATCGGAGGTTGGATGCTTATGTAGGCTCTGTTTAAGGCTTTAAGCTATAGCAAACAAAGACTGCGTTAGATCTGGGCCATGGCCTAAGCTTGGCCGACATAAGACTGTGTCCCCGTTTATAGAAACAGCCAATGAATTATTACCCCGGAGTGAAGAGTTCAGCCCCCATACCGCTTCAAATTTAAACCGGGTCAGGCATGGGTCGTCTACTGTATTATTCCGATCGGGTTTTTGGCACTTTGGGTATCTAGCTAATATTGACTTGGTCGGCTTCTTTTGTTTTTCTTAATATTTTATAATATATTAATATTTGCCCTATCTTACCATGATAGAGTAATCGAAGTCAGATATTTTAGATCACAGTGGATCAATTAATTTAAGAAATAGATATCATGGGATTAAGATTTTTAAAATCTGGTGAATCCAATTCTATTTGTACATCTTATGCTCTTTTTATCTTTATATTTAATACTTTTATGGATTCATCATTTGTTTTTATTTTAGTTAGAAATATTTTAACTTTAAAATTGTAATGTATAAAAATTAGATATAATATTAGGATGTTGTGGGATCTATTATTCATGGTGTACACCTATCTTAAAATACAAACACATGAAAAATGGGATCTATTATTCATGGTGTGCGCCTATCTTAAAATACAAACACATGAAAAATAACAATATAAATTTAACTCATGAATATCGATTTAAATTTATAACTTATAAAATATTATAAATTAAATGTAATATAATTATGTATCAAAAAATATCGATTGAATTCTAAAAGTTATTAACGGATTAAATTTATAACTTATAAAATATTAGAAATTAAATGTAATATAATTATGTATCAAATGAGTTAGTTATGTTATATCATGACGGCTCACTTGAAAGCCAATTGTATGAGTTGTGAAGGAATCTGATTATTTTAGGTTGGTTTAAAAGTGCTGGCTAGATTGTTTTTTAAAGTATTTTTTATTTGGAATCGGCTTAAAAGTTATGTTATATCATGACGGCTCACTTGAAAGCCAATTGTATGAGTTGTGAAGGAATCTGATTATTTTAGGTTGGTTTAAAAGTGTAGTTGGGATTGTTTTTTAAAGTATTTTTTATTTGGAAATATATTAAAATAATATTTTTTTTATTTTTTAAAAATTATTTTTAATATTAGTATATCAAAATCACTTAAAAACATAAAATATATTATTTTAAAATAAAAAATAAATATTTTTAATATTTTTAAAATAAACTAGTAAACCTAACATCACACCAAAAGGTATATAAGATATATAAATAAACACAACGGTAGTCGGTACGTACACACATCACCATGCGCACGCACGGTTCATGCATTAATTTTTCATTGGTTTAAACTATTGGATCTTCCGGTATGTTATGTATGGATTTCGATGCATCCAATTTTCAACCAGTCAGGAGACTCCACCTCTACAACGTGCTCCAGTCATTTTCTTGCAAAATTATGTCATTGTGTGATGGAATATAATAATTTGACACTAAAATTACACCTTCATCTTCTGTTTTTTTTTTTTTTGTCTTTCTTTGTAGTATTTTATGGTGTATCTTTCTTCATCGGTACACGTGTTAGTTTTTATATTATTTCGAGTTCAAATTCAATTTAAAATATATCTTTATAAGCACGCCATTTTTAACATTTATGATATTATTGAAAGAACCTAAATCCCCTGTAGTTGCTGATCAATTAGCACTGTTTGCTATGAGAAAGTTTTGGGAGGTGGTGTAAATAGTATTTTTTTTAATGAAAAATTATTTTTTTATATATTTTAAATATTTTTTATTCATTAATCTTAAAAATAATTTTAAAAAATAAAAAATATTATTTTAATATATTTCAACACAAAAAATTCTTTAAAAAATAACCATAACAGCAATCTTAAACAAATTTTATTATAATATAATAATAATATTTTTATTTATGACTTCATTCACTAAAAATAACTTCATAATTGTTTTTCAAGAGCAGTAAAGTTTTTTTACATTATTATTTATTATTTTTAAATTATTTAAAGATAAATAAATTTTTTTCCATGTTAATTAAAAATAAAATTGGAAGTAACAAATTTAAACTTGTACACAAGAAATGTAATAATTTTTTAATAATTATTAAGTTAACTCATGAATGATTTCATATTTAACTAAATAAAAAAAAAAAAGCAGCGTGCACGCCAGCACGGCATCCAGGGGGCGGGTGCAGCACGTCCTGATATCTATCTAAAACTTACCCCTTTTATTATGTTAATGGAAACGTGATCGCGTTCTCTTACTCATGATGTGGTGTGGTGGATGTCTCCGGCATTTTTGTTAATAATCCAAATCGCTCACCAACTCAGATTTTCCTCTTCCACGGCTCGAGTAAAGCGTAAACGACAGATCTGTTCACCCCCCTTCCCTCACCTACCCACATCCAACCACCCTCAGGTCCCCATCCCACCATACTCTCTCTCTCTTTTTAATTAATATAATATCTATATCAATTTAAATATATCTTAACCAACCCTATAAATATTAAAATTAATATTTATATAAATCTTTATACATCTTAAAATTACTAATAACTTTTAAAAATTTAAAATTTAACGATTAAACTATATTTTTAAAGGTTCATGCTCTTCATTTTTTATAAGTCTATTCTAAATTTTTTAAATTTATCTAATAGTATGATTGTGATTGCTTTGCGAATAATTTTTTGTATTTAAATATATATTAATAATTTTTTTATTTTTAAAAACATTATTTATAATATCAATATATTAAAATAATTTAAAAATATTAAAAACATGTTAATTTAAAAAAAATAAAAAATATTTTTTTAACTTTTTTTAAAATATAAAAATAAAGTATTTCTTTAAACTTTGAGCGGTTGAAAAGAGCGTGGAGTATTTGTTTCAGTGTTTTTTTTTTAACATTTCAGGACCTTTGTTTATCTCTGTGAATCATTTAGTTTGTTAAGGGATCTGTTGCTTCGACAACATGGAAAAGCTGTATCAATAATCATGGTCTTTGAAACTTGGCTGAAGGATCAAATGGTTACAGAAATAAGGAGTTAAATCACATTTAAGATAAAAACAGTAAGAGAGCCTAACCAAAACAAAATTGAGAGTTAAAGGACCAAACACACCATCACCCCACTCCATTCCCTTCGTCCACCGGGACCCCGTGAATTACCAACCCTCACTCTCAACAATCAACGCGCACGCACGCTCTCTCCCCCACTGCCACTTGCCCGCCCCGATCATGAACTCCCACGCGCGTGCACTACATTTCCGCTTCACATCCCAAAAACCCTCACCAAACCCCACACATATAAAATCGCACCTTAGATCCTTCTTTCCTTTATACGAATCTTCACCAAAATGGCAGCCACCACCTCCACAGCCGCCTCCAGCCTCCTCGCGACCAAGAAAAACCTCTCCTCCCTCTCCATCACCTCCGCCAACAAACTCCCCGCTTTCTCACCCCTCCTCACCTCCTCACGCAGACAACGTTTCATAGTCCTTTCCGCAAGCCTAAACTCAAAGCCAACAGTCCTAGTCGCAGAAAAACTAGGAGAAGCGGGTATAAATCTCCTGAAAGACTTTGCAAACGTTGACTGTTCTTACAATCTAAGCCCAGATGAACTTTGTACCAAGATCTCACTTTGTGATGCCCTTATTGTACGTAGTGGAACTAAAGTCAGTCGTGAAGTTTTTGAATCTTCTGGTGGTAGATTAAAGGTTGTTGGCAGAGCTGGTGTTGGTATTGATAATGTTGATCTTGCTGCTGCAACTGAACATGGATGTTTGGTTGTTAATGCTCCCACTGCTAATACCGTTGCCGCTGCAGAGCATGGGATTGCGTTGATGGCTGCAATGGCTAGAAATGTTGCTCAGGCTGATGCCTCTGTTAAAGCTGGTAATTAATTGTTTTCATTTTCTTTGATTTTTGGGTGATTGAGTTTGTTGAGTGATTAAAGATTAAAAAAGATTTGAGTTTTAGATCCTGGTCCTGAATGAAAAGCTGGTTCGGTAAATGCGCATTATTTTTGCAGCAATGGTGTTTTTAGGGGTTAGAGTTTTAATTTTGGAAAGTAAACCTGTGTAAGTTGGGATTTCTTTTAAGTTGGAGTGGAAAGTAGTACTACTACCTGGAAAAAGACAGTACTTTTGTACCTGGCAGATCCAGGCTTGTCGTGCTTTGTTTTTTTCTTTTTTCTTGGCGAGATCTGGTTTGCATGTGTTTTTTTTAGATGCTTAAGAGATTTATTATTGACGCGCTATTCTCTCAAAAAACCAATTAAGACTTATTATCCTTGCAGAGCATACTTAACGTTTATATAGCTGACTAACTGAAGGTGTTTATTCGACATATCTAGGGAAGATTACGGTGGGGGTGGGTTTAGAAAGGGTTTAAGGATAATGAGAGAAACATCGAAATTTTGCGTTATTAGAAAGATTTAACCAAAAACACTGCATAATTCAGGTAACTGATTTGTAGCTAGTAGAAAACTTTTAAATATTGTCGAGGAAAGTTATTTCTAATCCATGTCCTGTTGACTACATAGCATCTTTTCATAATGGCTACTTCATGTTTATGGTTCAGTAGATATATTGAACGCGCATCATAAGATTACAATTATTGAGTTCTTCCATGATTGCTAATGCAGAGATCATATGTCATTTATTTCTGGTGCCAACTATGTTAATTCATATGAACACTTATTACGGTAAAATTGGATTTGATTTACTACTGTCCAGAGGCACTTATTTCGTATGTTTCTTGATTAATGTAGGAAAGTGGGAGAGGAACAAATATGTCGGTGTGTCACTTGTTGGGAAAACGCTTGCTGTCATGGGATTTGGAAAGGTTGGATCAGAAGTTGCTAGGCGTGCTAAGGGGCTTGGCATGCATGTGATTGCTCATGATCCATATGCTCCAGCAGATCGTGCTCGGGCAATCGGTGTGGAGCTTGTGAGCTTTGATGAAGCCATAGCAACTGCAGATTTCATCTCCTTGCACATGCCACTTACTCCTGCTACAGCAAAAATCCTCAATGATGAGACTTTTGCAAAGATGAAGAAAGGAGTTAGGATTGTCAATGTTGCTCGTGGAGGAGTAATTGATGAAGATGCCCTAGTAAGGGCATTGGATGCTGGAATTGTTGCTCAGGCAGCACTTGATGTTTTCACCGTGGAGCCTCCTCCACAAGACAGCAAGTTAGTGCAGCATGAGAGGGTCACTGTCACCCCTCATCTTGGTGCTAGTACTAAGGAAGCTCAGGTGTGGCCACTGGTCAGATAATAATAATACTCCTTTTGCTTCTTTTCTTTACCATGGAATGAAACAGAGTCCTGGTTTGATGTGCAGGAAGGTGTGGCTATTGAAATAGCAGAAGCTGTTGTTGGAGCCTTGAAAGGGGAACTCGCTTCTACTTCTGTCAATGCACCAATGGTGCCTGCTGAGGTATCATTACAGACCGTGTCATCTTTACTTCACTTCGATTCTCTGTTTAATCCATGCAGCTTTTCTGGTGAAAGAAAGGGACATAATCTTTTCTCCTGTCATTGTTCTTACTCCATTGCAGGTTCTGACTGAGCTGAAACCATTTGTTGAGCTTGCTGAGAAGCTTGGGAGACTGGCTGTCCAGCTAGTGTCAGGTGGAAGTGGTGTGAAAGATGTAAAAGTGACTTATGCTTCTGCTAGGGCTCCGGATGACCTTGACACCAGGGTGCTCCGTGCAATGATCACCAAGGGTCTGATCGAGCCCATATCCAGTGTTTTTGTGAACTTGGTTAATGCTGATTTCAGCGCTAAACAGAGGGGACTAAGAATAAGTGAAGAACGCATTCTTCTAGATGGTTCACCTGAGAGTCCACTTGACTTTATCCAGGTCCAAATCGCCAATGTGGAATCAAAATTCGCCAGTGCCATATCTGAGAATGGGGAGATTAAGGTCGAGGGACGAGTGAAGGATGGAATTCCCCATTTGACCAAGGTCGGATCTTTTGAGGTGGATGTGAGCTTGGAAGGTAGCATTATACTATGCCGACAAGTTGATCAGCCAGGTATGATTGGCAAGGTTGGAAGCGTGTTGGGAGTAGAGAATGTCAATGTCAGCTTCATGAGTGTTGGAAGGATTGCTCCACGAAAGCAAGCTGTCATGGCAATTGGAGTTGATGAGCAACCCAGCAAAGAAACTTTGAAAAAGATTGGCGATATCCCAGCCATTGAAGAGTTTGTTTTCCTCAAGTTATAGGGTGGCTTTGTCATTTTGCTAAATTTTTTTCCATGGCAATTCTTCTCGAGGGGGTATCATTACTTCATTGGAGCGCCCGATTTTGATTTGAGTGTTCGTACTTCGTAG